AGGGTTTTCATACCCTCATGCCAGGTCTTATCTTGACCACCTTGGGCTTTATTCCACCCACTGCCTGCCTCGGCAAACATCGCCTGACGTGGCAACCTATTTGGTGACATGCGTAACACATCCCCCAGCCAACGTCATCTATGGTGGCCGACCACTAGCTCCAGTGGGCGATTGTCTAAAACTTTGCACCTGACATCAGCATTGCTCGTCCAGCTGTCCCACCAGATTCGTGCAATGCTGCGTAGACAGCGATGTTCAAACAAAGAAAGTCTATCTTTATCCTGGCCAAGTTTCTGCTCCGTATAACAGAACAGGCCGAATTGCTGAAACCTACACTCGACCCTTCACAGACAGCCGGATGTCGCGACGGCGCCACAGCTGTCTTGACTTGACAAATGCCAACCGAGCCTTCTGTATGCGAGCTGATACTTCATCTGTGAGACGTCCACCGGGCGAAATGTAGCTGCCTAAATACCAATAATAATAATAACTGAAATGCGAGTTCCAGTGCTCGTAAAATTTATACAGAATACAATACAAAATGTATCCAAACAGCAAAAGTTTACAGCGTCATTGATTAACGTGGATTTCCGTGAACGGTTTTCGCATTGTTTTTTTTAAACCGCCGTTAACCCCGGTTTTAGAAAAAGCCTATCCCAGTTCCGGAATAATAATGAGGAGCACTTAAAAGCTCGTTTTGCGCCAACACTGGTGAGCAAAATCAGATTTCACAGAAAGATCGGTTATAATATGAATAAAACCCTTTAGTGATGAGTACTGCTACTCCGTCTTAAGTAACACGTATGAAACGAACTAAAGCCTGGGTTGTTCTTTCATTTGGGGATATGGCGGTTTTCTCTTCTAACTTTTCATACAATGACAACGTGTTGCACACATCTTTTTTAGGTAAAATGGAATCCATCGGAAAACCCAGAAGTTTCTGCTATGTACACCAAAGATTTCCTGGTCACCTGTCTTTCAGAAGTAAGTCGTGAAAGGATCTTTTTTCTCGAACCGGGGAATCACGAAAATTTTTTCTGGCTCGCTTTTGTCACTGATTCTAAGAGGCCCTAGCTGCTTAGGCTTAGAAAAACGTGTCACATGAGTTATATGCTTAGTGGTTCTGACACGTGCTAAATGGCGTGTACATTCTGCTCCTCTAGAGATGGGAGTAAGCGAAAGGAATCAGTCTTGTAGTGCATATTTCCTTGTGTGTCTAAATCATTTTCCATGTTTATTATTCTTTTTTTCTCAGCAATGTCCTCCAATGGATTGCGGTTTTCACACACCGCCGCGCTGCCTTGTGGGTCAGACTGTGGTTAGCCGAAGGCTCCTGTTGTGAATTTCCCAAGAAAATTCACCTACTTTGGCCTGAGCAACCTAGCAGTATCGTGCCCTCGAGCAAATCACGAATCTTTTTTCTTTTATAGAGAGGGCTCTACTGTGATCTGTTTCGCACACAGTATGAACTCAGACGTATGTGCAAATATAAAAACACCTAGTCCCTTGCAAAAACCATTGTTTTCCATCTCTTTTTCCGCCCATTATCGTTTCTTGTAGCACGGAGATGTGGTCACAATCATGGTTGGCAAACGAGGCACCGCGATGGTCGAATTCTCCTCCCTTTCCGATGCAGTGAGTTGGACGTGATACACGTGCACTTTTGTCTGTCATATCCAATCTGATGCCTAGATGATATTTCCATTTGAACTCTAGAGATGGAAAACCTCGTTTACATATATTGTTATATCAAATGGAATCGTTTCATGTTCAGTTCCAGGAACGCTTCTCCGCTTTTCCAGAACCCTTTAGGATTCCACACCCGGTTGTAGTTACGGTGTGCCCCTTACAGGTTTATCAACTCGTTCCATTTTATAAGCTGCTTCCCCCGGCTTGTGTGACAGATTTTGCAGGTGCTCAAACGATTGTTCTCCATCCTCTAAGTGGCAGATACGACCATGTAACCGAACTTCCCAATTACGGCGTCTCGTTTTCCAAACTTATCGCTACTTACTAACCAAGCGTCGATTTCAATCACCATTCTGCGTTACGGATTTCTGTTACTGCCATTTTTGCATATACCAATAGACTATCGCTCTATGCTTTCCGAAACAAATCGCTGTTTACTCCATTCCATTTAATTAAACTTTATTTCTCTGCATATATCTGGCCGTATCGAGTGTATGTTCCTCCAATAATCCTTATTACCTTATTCACAAAAGATGCCGAATCTGACATAGTCTCTCGAATGCATTTATAACAGTACTGGTATTCCCAGCAACCGCATTGTCATGTTTATTCTTTCGTAGCGCGCTGAAGCACAGCAAAAACTCCTTAGGGATATAAATGGACCATTATCGTCTTCTGCACTATGATACGAGAAGATAAATATCCACTTGTTTGCACTAGGTCTATGTATGTCTACACAAAGGCTTGCTTTGATTCAGTTGCACCATATTTAGTTCACATTTTTAGCATCTCTGAACGAATTGCATTGCTTTGATCCACGTGGAACTGCAAACGGCTTCCGATCTGCCATTTTTAATACCAATTAAATCAGAGCTCATATGTGGCAGTGGAATATTCACCGTGCACAGGGCATTAATTTGACTTGATGAACAGATCCACTGGACCTAGCTCATCTCCTACCCGGTATCTCCATTTTTCCTATTTGTACCATAGAGGACGTATAACTCTGTCGACCTTGCATCTCAATCCATCGACTCACTCGTCGGTCGATCCTAGGAACTCGCAACCACAGTAAACACCTGAACTCATGGCAACTGATGAGACTGTTCCATCTTATCTATCTACAATATAACATAGACCCTCTATGGAAGGTTGTTGCGATCACTTCGGCACCGGTCTCCGGGGTTATGGCTATGGGTCTGTGCTTCGCGCCATCGAAATGCGAAGTACTCTCAACAGACTGGCAAGAGCATGCCTGTATCCGCACTCTACGTTGATCAGTTAGAGATGGTCAGTAGCATGAAAAAAAGCTGGAGCTTTGGAGGAAGTGACATTGCGAACAGCAAAAGCCAGAGCGGCTTTCATTAACCCACGACACCCGTAGCACTACCACATCTGTCCTCCCTTCAAAGAACGGTTGTACTTAGCCGCCCTTAGTAGCGTTCTGTTTTATCACTCCGAAACCTAACTTCTTTACGCTGAAAATTTCAATTCCCTGTAATGAACCACCAGTGTCTTTTGTTGGGAACATTAGGTGAACAATTGTAATAGTACGCGTTGAGTGCTGACAGTTGCTGTCTGGAAGACGAAACCGCCACCGATGACCTGGTTAAGTTTTGTGTGCCTATCTATCGTCTACCTTTCCCCAATAAACGACGCGGCTATCAATTTATGACTTGGTGTAGTGTTATGGATAAGTTAGCTTCGGTTCATGCTTTCGGGTATGATACCTATGGGAACCGAATTCCGAAGTCCTTGCTTGTTTGGTCTCTTGAAGCTCCCACACGGGTTCTTTGGTTATATCCACGGATTGGGTGCATGCTCCATTGCCTTGTGGGCCAGACTGTTGAATCGAAGCCTCCAGTTACAATTCCTAAATTCCCGTTCCTTCGCCGATCAGGCTTTTTACTTTTTTTATTACACACATTTCTATGGTGAACAGCAGACGGGGCGAACCCCATAGTCACGAAGAGCTGGTACTTCGTCACGGAAACGGGTAACCTAAGCCCTGGGACTCGGAGTGGCGAACCACATAAGGCCCCGATAGCTTAGGTGTGGTATTGAACCGGACGACAGCAAAGCTGCCTGCCACCAAAGTTGCGTGGCGAAGCTCGGACCATAGGCTTTAAAGCATGCCAGTGACAGCAACTAAACCACCGCGCCACCACCACCCTAAGACTGGTCAGGTTTCCTGTAGATCAGTTCAGTTCAGTTTGTACAACCATTAACCATGCACTATCGTGCGCCGGCTTTGGTTGCTATCTTTCGGTTGCCCATTTGGATGAACATTCGGAGAAAAACAGGAAATGCCACGGATGTCTCAAGTTAGCAAATGCCAACCGAGCCTTCTGTATGCGAGCTGACACTTTATCCGTGATGCGTCCACCGGGTGAGATGTAGCTGCTCAGATAACAAAACCTATCCACTTGCTATTGCTATTACTTTCCCAGTTAGAGTGAGGCTGGGTGCTGGACCAACCCAGTCTTGTAGTAGCATTTTACACTTTGAAGGTGCAAAACACATACCAAACATGGCTACACTAGTACTCAAACTTTCCCGAAATGCTTATAACTTACCTGGATCTTCACTCAGTAGCACAATGTCGTCTGCGTACTCGAGATCAGACAGCCTGCCACCTGGGAGTAAATCGATGCTACTATTCTCGCACGAGGATAGGGCTGTTTCCATAATCAGATCTATCACGAAGTTAAATAGAAATGGAGAGGGAGGGTAACCCTGTCGAACACCACTTTCCGTGGTGAACTCGGGTGAAAACGTGCCGTAAGCTCGGGCTCGGCTTCGGCTATGAGTATAGAGGGATCGTAATATTGAAATAAACTTCTCGAGCACACCTTTCAGAGAAAGGCAACGCCAGAGTTTAGAGCGGTCGACTGAGTCGAAAGCCGATTTCAGATCTAGGAAGACAGAGATGGTGGGTCTACGGAAAGATTATCGGTGCTCCAGAATTTGGCGAAGAGTGAAGATGTGGTCGATACAACTTCTACCAGGTTCACAACTAGCTTGCTTCCTTTAGACAATCCCTATCGTATCTGTGAGTTACTGCCAAGTCTGTTGCACCATAAAGTCTCAGGCACCCACTTTAAAAATCCCTAACTGTCTACTTCCAAATCTCCCACACATACGGAATACCTGTTACTTTTGCAACTGATTGTGAAATTATGAAGGCAAGCTTTATTGATGAATTTATAAATTCTTGAATTACTGGTAATTAGTGTCTCCACTATCCATCAGATCAGGCAACGAGCCTCCCTAGCTGGAACGTTTAAAACTTTCGGTTTAAACGTATGCTGTTTTTCCGAAACAGGAATGCTGAAATAATTACATAAAGTTGTGTAATGAAGAGTGAAATCACCATTTTCGAATACGTGACACATTCGATTGACTTAGTTCAGTATCGTAACTTACCGACGCATGTTCATAAACTTCCGATGCATGACCAGTTCCGGTTTAGTTGATAGTCGTCTCCGTTAATTTTTTATGTAATGATTTGCTCAGTTTCTGGAAATCGCCCCTTCCTCTTCCAGAAAACGGCAGTCGCCGCCTCAGAACAGGGCGCTGTGGGTTTGCCCTCCCTGCCATTGAAGTTGTCATTGGTTGAACAAAACCACGGTCCAGAGCCCGGACAGTTTGTATCTGAGCACTCGGAACAGGACAAATCGCCATTCCCTGCTCGAAATACTTCCTCGGTAAGGATGTGAGTGCAGTGATTACAAATCCCAGCCCGGGATCTGATCAACTAGTCAGATAAAACACAAAATTCTAATTCTATTGGTACCACTTAACACAGAATCCTAACGTCGAAAATCGGATTTAGTTGAATGCGAAAGCAGCAACGACGAAAGGCACCGATAATGTAGCTTTTATAATTTTGTTTCCCTCGTTACTTTGTTTGATGTTTATTGTGATCGATGTCTCCGTTTATCTTTTCAGACCAATTTCGACTCATTCGAATCGGACATCCTAGCTCGTATGGCCAACTTCA